GCTTTCAGCTCCGCAAATCAAATGTTCACAGCGCGTAAATTAGCCCAGAGCATCGACAAAGTGCCAAGTTTTAAACCCTCGGAACTTTGCAATTTATTGTTTTTCATTTGAACTCAGTTAGTCGTTATCTTCAATGGTGTACGCCAGCCCGATCCTAGTAATTTCGCGTTTCTTGGAAAATCGGAACAAAAAAGAGTACCAGCATAAACGGTTAAAGTTAATTTCGTTGGGAACTGACAACGGAAATCAATTTTCGCTCAACTCAACGTCTAAAAACAGTGCCGTCAAAAATAAACTTTTACTTAAACTCAGTATGTTTGACCAATTAAGATGCTCAAGTTGACCAGAATTGCATACATTTTGCCAACAACTAAAAAAGCAAACATAAATGATCGGGCAACAGGGCCCAGCTCACCTCTTTAACTTCAGCAGTCTTTAGTTTTTCGACCATGAAGGACGGCTGCGACTTGCGCCTCATGAGTTTCATGGACTCGGCTCGCTTTATGGGGGGTAGTTTGGAAAACACGACTGGCGTCGGAGCTGCTCTTTCCCAGTTTGTATCTGTGCAACTGGCGCACGAACCAATGTGAGTTCATATGACGAGCCAGAAACTTGACCAGAGCTTGCGGGTCTGTTGATTTGCATTCTGGAAAATGAAACTATTATACTTCTTTTAGAGCAAGAAAATACTTTTTTCTCATCATCTCATTATAGCAATCAGTTTCCAAAATTTGCCAAAATGTATCGCTTGGTACAGTGCAACGCCCAAATACCGAAAAATAATTCATATGACAAATTTTCCGCCAGAAACTCCCCCCTCAATTCCCCCGCCCTCAAAAATAATATATATTGTCGCAAACAGCAATTTTAGGAATTTTTCAGGATCGGTCCGACAAAAAAGAATAAAAATGGAGAGTACTGGTGTTGAATCTATGAGACGGGAAGCCCAAACCCGCTATTGCTCATATTTGTGATCAAATTGCTTATTTTTTTTACTGCCCCTGTCATCCGGCCTGGATGGACAAACTAACCTTATACGTATGTTATTTATATTATTAATAATCTTATGTTAAACGCCTAGACGGCCGGTCACTTGACCTTGATAGACAGAGAGGACGAACTCTATTTGAAATAAAAAACAGAGTTGAATTAATAATATCTGTCAACTAGTCGTTTTATATCGCTCCGACTGAGAAATAAGGTTTATCGATCCATTCGTATTCAAGGATTAGAATATCATACCCTTCGGTATGACATGACGCAGCCAGCACGATATTCCAAAAACCCACTGAATATTAACCCATTTTGGGAGAGAGCGTCTGCCGAACCACCACTAGAATGGTCAAGGTGGGCAGCCATACTGGAGATGGCTGTATTCGCAAAGGATGGGATCGAAATACGGATTTTATTGAGAGCCAGACCAACACTCGTCGAAACCGCAGAACCTGTGTATAAACTTGAAATACAGGGCGAAACAGAAGCACAAAGAAAAAACCGCGAGGTGCACAATCAAGAGAAACGAGTTAGTTGGGAGAATCACGTCATAAAAGCCCGAGAGAAAGGAGTATTATGCAATTCGTACAGATGGGACGAAGCAGACGCAAGAGTCCGGAGTTACCTTTTTCTCTGTCTGAGAGCCGAAGGTCAATGACAAGTTCAACAGAAAAGACCTAACCTTGTATTACACAATGTAACCACACAAGATTTTATGACAACACTGGAAGATATCTTTGTTACTAACAGAATTGTAGCATTCCACAGATATAACTTTATTTGCCGTAAACAAAAGAATTCGGAAATTCTGGAACAATTTCCTGCATATTTAGTCGAATTAGCCTCACGGGCTGATTGTGGGGACAGAGAAGATGAAAGGGTTAGAAACATGTTTACAGCACACATGCACAACAAAAAAATGCGAAAAAACGGTTAGCACAAACACGGACCCCCCAAAACGGATATGTGTATGAAATTCGCCGGGAAAAAGGAATTGAACATAGTCGTACTATGAAGATAAACCCATTTGGGGGACAAACTACAACAAAACAAGAACCATTACATTATATCAACAACCGGGGTGGTCGATATAACTCTGCGAATAACCAGGTCGACCATATCCGCGCGGATCACAAAACACAAGAGGGCAACAAAGAAATAACAATACAAACGCCTCAAAACAATATTATAAATGTGGAAACCAATACAATCAGAATGACCTTCAATCTTGCCCAGCGAAAGATAAAATTTGTTCAAAATGTGCGAAACGAGGCCATTTTGCGAAAGTTTGCAGATCTACAAACGTTAATTATTTAGGAAACCGGCAAGATGAGCAACAGGAAGAAATAGAAAAAGAAAGTCTCGAAACCGAAAACGATCCGGTGGCTTTTGCCGAGTTTACATCAAATAACAGATGGGATGAATATCAAACAGACAAATTCTCGGTTATGGCATTCGCTGAATCTTTCGAGATTAAAAAAACAAATATCCTGTCGGAAGATGATCTGAATGGTCATATTGTGAAATTAGAAACAAATTCAGAAGAACTATTCGCTATCGCTGACTCAGGAAGTCCAATGTCGTTTCTGAATGAAAAAACCGCACGGCGCATTCAACAAAACAAAAAATCAGCATCATTCAAGTGCATCCCACCGGACGACACATCAAGGAACCTGGCTTGCTATAATGGTGAAACAATAAATCCGAAAGGAAGATTGATTATAACCATTGAATCAGGAGGCTTGAAGATTCAATCAGCCCCGTTCATCATTGTCGATTATCAAAAAGCTAATATCATTAGACGCAACTTTCTACCACAAATCAGTGTCAAGTTAATACAAGAAAAACATAAACAAAATGTATTAAATGTACGCGAACAAGAAGAATCGGATCCGGAAATTAAACAATGGGTCAAAGATAACTTTCAACAACGCATACGTATTGGAAAATCAAAAAATCACATGATGGAAACTCAATTCAGCCAAAACTTCATGCCAATACAACAAAACGGACGACGTATTCCGGTACACTTACCGGAAAGAGTCGAAGGGGAACCAAAAAAATTAAGGGATCAGAACCACATCATCAAACTAGATAAATGCTCGGATCGAAAAATTATTAGTCCAATTGTAGTCACAGTAAAAAAAGATCAAACTGTCAAATTCGCGGTAGACTCCAAGAAAATCAACAAATTCATTCACGAGAACAAATACCAAACGCCTAACATTGAATTATTGTTGAACAATTTTGCACAGGTGGTAAAATCAGACAAGTCCAAACAAACACTTTTCTCAACACTCGAACTTCGCTACGCATATTCACAAATCCCGTTGGATAAAACGACCAAAGAACAGTGCAACTTTGGTCTTATTAGTGGTAACGCTACTGGGACTTATCAGTTTCAAACATAGTTTTATGGCCTCACAGATATGCCAGCTGATTTTCAGAAAGCGATCGATTTAATCCTTACAAATTACACGAACACTTATGCTTAATTGAACGATATTTTAATCGTCACAAAAGGATCGTGTTGGATGTACACGAACAAAAATTGCAATCAGTTTTGAAAAAACTTGGCGAGGAAAACCTGGCAATATCATTGGATAAATGTAAGTTTGCATGCAAACAAGTTGAGTGGCTAAGATTTACTGTTAATAGTGAGGGAACAAAACCAGTTGTAAGAAAGACTGCGGCTATCGAAAAATTATCATCAACAAAAACTTTTGAACAATTAAAGAGTTTTATGGGTTCCATACAACATCTCACACGGTACATCCCACAATTGGCACAAACCGCTGCCGCACTACGCCCTTTGCTAAAAAACACAGAAAAAAAAACAAACCACTTGAATGGTCCACAGAACATAACACAACATTTAAAAACATACTAAAATTGGTATCGGAGATAACACAAAACAAACATTTTGATCAACATCTTGATACTCGCATCGTGTGCGATGCTTCAACTACTGGATTAGGAGCTGCCTTTGAAGAATTTTCACCAGAAGGTTGGGTTGCCGTAGCGTACGCATCACGTTTTCTGAACTCAGTAGAAAAAAAATATTCTGTTAACGAACTTGAACTATTAGGGGTCGTGTGGGCAATCAAAAATTTTAAGCAATATCTATATGGTAAACATTTTACCGTCATCACTGATCATCAGGCTTTAATCAGCGCTTTAAACGCAAGCGAACGATCAAAAACAAGTCAAAGCCGGCTCACATGTTGGATTGACCAATTAATTCTCTTTCACTTCGATATCAAACATCTTGCCGGAAGTAAAATGGGGTTAATTGACTACATAACCCAAAATCCGGTCGGGTTGGCAATACCCCCTAGTGAGTATGATGAAGAAATTGTTGTAGCATCAATTAAGACATTCATTAGTAACCTGGAAACGATTGACAAAGTCATTCTAAATAATCTGGCCAATCAGAACAAAGCACCATATGAGCTGATCAAAAAGCGCGCGAAAAACAAAGGGCTTTTGAATGCTGCTTCAACACTCAAGTAGAAATGAAACATTCCGAAAATTCTGCAACCGGTCATTGCCAAACTAAAAACACAAATCAGTCTCACTCAAAATCTGCTGTAGATCAGTCAACTCTCTTCCGATCTCTATCTCAACAATACCAAACAAACAGTAAAAATTCTGTCCGCAAAATTTCATTTCAACGACATAACAACGCAGCGATGAGCCGTAACGAAACCAAGGGATTTAAAGGAGGATTCATCCCACAGGAACTTATGTCATCAGAGCTAAGAGAAAGAAACGAGTCAACTCAGAACTGGCAGGGTTCGTCAGATAGAGAAGAAACTCTTTCGGACCCCAGATGGCATAAACGACCTCCCACAAAGGGAAAAAAAGGAAACCCTGACCTACAAAACAACACGCAAACACGACACACAAACAACAACGCCCGTACGGGACGCCAGAGAAGTACTATCGGCTAAAAAGATCGACACCAGTAAAACGTCAATTTTCCCGAAGATCACCTTCACAAATACGAATAAATCTGGACACAGAACGGATCGGATCACATCGGGCTACAACATGAGAACGATACCGACCCAAACACGATCAAATACTACAACAGCAACTACACAAAGATCTACACCCGAACCACGAAAAACAACAACATCTACACAAACACCCGGAAAAAGCACAAACACAGAAATCTGTGTCAGCCGCGTAGACCCAAATATCCGCGTGCAAGAAGAACGGACACATAACATAGAACCACCAACAATGGGATCCGCGACGTTAGAAGCCAGTCACGAAATGATAACAGAAGAGCTGGTCGCCACGGTGGAGAAAGCTACAAATACGGTGGAATCTGAGGAGGACACGCCCTTGTTTAGACAAAGACTACAGCGAGTATTAAGCGTTCGATTCATCGCTGCAGCCACCAAGAAAGATTGAAATCTTCGTCCCTTAATCAACTTTGTCAAAAAGATGGATTGGGAAGCAATCAAGGCTTCCTACGGTCAGTACTGGCACAATATTCGGAACAGGCTCCATGGCCGAGAGGATTGCTTACTCATAGAGGAGAGACTCCTCATCCCTACACAATTGAGGCAGACAGTGCTCGATAGTCTGCATTTGACACACCCAGGATCGCCAGCGATGCTGGACCTAAGTAACCATGTCTGGTTTCCTCACATACATCGGGCAATTGTGCAGATGGCACAAAAATGCAAACACTGCACCGAGCAAGGTAAAAATTTAAAACCCATCATAGGAAAAAAAAACATTCGTTCCAAATAGAACCAGTAGTTGAACCAAATGAGGAAGTACAATTAGATTTGGCAGTGCCCCTTCCGGGCGAACTAAATAGAGACGCATATATTCTAGTTGCAAAAGATAAGTGGTCTAAATTTTCAACTGCAAAAATCGTTACAAACACAACAGCGGATATCGCTATTAAATTTATGCAACGGTACTTTTCAAAAAATGGGGTACCCCGAAAGATAAGATGTGACCAAGCACAGACATTTAGAGCTAAAAATTTTCCACTGTTCTGTCATACAAACAATATTAAGTTAATGTTTGCACCAGTAGATGACCATAGAGCAATAGGGGTAGTTCAGAGAATGATACAAACTCTGAAGCGTAGATTAGCGTTCATGAGAATTGACAAAACAAATACACCGTACAAACTCACAACAGATGAAATTATTAAAACACTCAGAATTACACCACATGGCGTAAGAAACATTTCACCATTTGAGGCCCACATGGAACGTACACCAAACACACCCTTATCAAACGTAGCAACTAGTAGTTCACCTAACAATTTGAACTAGGAAACTACAAAACCTGCATGTTTTGATCGAAAGAATCTTACAAAGCCGCCTCTACCCTCTGAAGTAATGCACGACTTACAACGATGGTCAGAAGACGAAGTAAATATCAACAAGAGAGATCAAAAACTTCATATGAAGCGGGACCTGACAAACTCAGACTTACCAACCCAACAAAAAGATACCGGTGCAAAATCTAAAGCTATAGAAATAGTCAAGGATAAACTAAACGTAAGGTATAAGGGATTACAAACAATGGTAGACAAAAACACGAAAAAACGGATAGATCAGGTAGCACGGAAAACAATTAGAATAGCAACCAAGGTTAAGTATCCGAGAACATTCGAACAGAAATACAAAACCATAGACGGCAAAATACATACATATACCCCACACGCCGCTTGGGTCCAAACATTTGGAAAACAACCAAGATTACTAAGAAAAAGTGGTGCCGCATTTGTACCAAACCTTTCAATATACGGACCATGCAGACCGTCTCGTATCAGTGATTACGTTGCTTATAAATCCGCGACCATGCCTACATTTTTTAGACATCGAGAATCCTACTACTCCCCAGCATCGAATGTTAAGACAAGACAAAAAAACTGGCCTCCCGAAGAAACTAACACAAAATGAAAAGATGTTAGCACAAGGAAAATTAGATAGTCCGACAAAGCGAAAAGCAAAACAACAGGAAAACGGACCGGCGGGCGACCAACAAGGAAGCTACAAACGAGTGGAATGAGTTTACAATCAGAAATTCCGGCCGGGACTTCAAACTCTGACAACAACATACCACAACCAGCAACACCAGACACTGACAACCACGAAGACGACAATCAATCATCGGCCTCATCCGAAGATATTGCCCCATCGCCTAAGCGGCAAAACAAGAAACGAACTCCTCCAGCGAATGCAATAGAGACATTACGAAAATCAACGAGAAACCGCCAATCGGCGCTTTCCCATGCGTTTGGGAATCTGGTATCATTAACGCTATCAACGATGAAGAGAAAAAAACCGATTAAATTTCAAATTGACTCACCACCGGACAAACGAGATACGGACAACTATCCAAGCTTAAAATCCCTGATCCAAGAAATATGTTTTACTGAAAAGACCCCACAATACAGAGCATGCGTCAAATTAATCGAAGCAATTAGCCCGAAGAACAAAACAGGCGTCACCGAGGTAGTCGATTTAACTTCTCCACCCATTGAAGATGACGCCACAGCTGATACGAATAACGAAAATCTATTCGTCAATACAATAGCATGTCAAGAAAGCGGGATGGATCAGAATAAGAAAAACAACGATGACGAGGAACACGAAAGCCAGGGGAAGAAATTGCCAAACATGACATACAAACAAAAAAATGATGTCGAAAAGTCCTATCGGGACTATAAAACTCAAACTTGTCAGTCCTTAAGGGGACTCTAAAACTCACAAACCTATTAGTCCTAAGGAAACTTGAAAACTCAATTTAACACAAAACGGCCGGTCACTTGATCTTGATAGACTGAGAGGACGAACTCTATTTGAAATAAGAAACAGAGTTGAATTAATGTTATCTGTCAACTAGTCGTTTTATATCGCTCCGACTGAGAAATAAGGTTTATCGATCCATTCGGATTCAATGATAAGAATATCATACCCTCCGGTATGAAAGCCCCGATCAAATTCTGAATTCTACCCTACAATAAATCTCATATGGTAGTGCACCTGACCAAACGTTTCTTTTCCCGTTACACTAAACCATTTTTGAATGCCTTTGGCAGGTCACTAGCTGATTTTTTTTATTTGAACGAAGCTGTACAATTCGGTTTTTGTTACTCTTAAGCAATTTGACCATAGTTAGCAACACAACTTGCCCTATCCCAATATATTGCACGCAATTTTATTCTATGCGGTTCTACTCACTGATATATTTACTCTAAATCATTCTATTCTAAGCAAAAAAAAGAAAAATAAATCTTCGACGTTTATTTTAACTTTTTGTACCGACAACTGTCGTTAGTGAAACATTTTGAAATCCGACGACCACGCCTTCATAAGTAAACGGCATTACCTTAGCAGAAAAAATAACAAATTTGCTGCCAAGTATTTTTCAGTTAGTACACTTGGAAGGAGTTCACAAGGCAGTGAACTTGACAAAGATGCATCAAGAGCGAAAGTAAATAAGAAAGTTTTCTGTTTACGCATGTGTTTGCCGAAAAAATAGAGAAACCAAAGGTTCAAAAACCCATTTTAACCGTCAGCGCAAAAATGGGTAATTGCACCTATTTTTGAAAATAACCAAAATCGCTCATCCAAGTATTTACTGTTCTATGTATGTGAAAGTCTCCAATCAACCCTTTGTCGTTTATTTAAATAATTCTATGGAAGCTCGGATAAATTTGAAAAAAAAAATCAAACAGATATCTGATTCTCATACAAGCTGCTTCTAATTTAACTGAAGTAGATTTTTCTACCGTGCATAAACTTTTGTTCAGTTTTTTTGGCATTTACATTAATTCATTTCTTTATTTGATATCCCACGAATAAGAGTGCAGCAATGATGTTCATTTTGGACAATGTTTCATTCAGTTCGTTAATATATAATTTTAGGTATGTTTAAAACTTGTCAATGTTTTTTTAAATTGTCTGTTTTTTAGAAATTGAAAGTACTGCGCGAAATGCGACCTTAAGAATTTTCCATTTCATTCAACGTCAGTTTGTTTGCTAATCCGTATAACGGAATTCCATTTCGCAAAACCGGTATGGCTTTTGCTTATCAAACTCTAACACGACTGTTGGTATCAGGGCGAAGCCCTGAATGTTCCGACTCTCTTTTAAGGTCTATGGAGCAGTAACAACATGAAAAACTTAAATGTAATGAATTAAAATGAATTTTAATTGTTTTGAGTTTTTTGTGAAAATCATCTCGCCACGCGCCATATAAAGTAAAATGTGACAGATTTCGCTCCTAGTAATAAATTAATTATGGCAAATAGGCTTCCTTTAAGCAATTTCGAACGATTTATAAGACGGATTATATCTCCGCTTACACGTTGAAAGCGCGAAATATGTCGCATGTTAATTGTCCCGACTTGGCTAAAGTAGTATTTTTTAAACCCCCATATCTTCACAGTTCAAGTATCTTTTACAAGTTTAATTTCAAGACAACAAACCTTTCTGAATGATATTTAAAAATTCCGTCAAAAAAATCGAAATTTGTCCGAAGAAAAAAACCACTCCGAGAAGAAATATTCCGTCAATTTCGTTCCAAAAGTCGGATCAAAAAGAGTGCTCGTATCAGGCCGAAGCCGTGAAAGTTCCGACTGCCCTTTAAGGCCTACGGAATAGTAATGCCTTTCAGAATTATTTTTTCAGATTTTTTTCCAAAAATTATTTCCCCACACGCTATGTAAAGTTCGAAGTATTACAATTAGCATATAGCTAAGTTTTAAATAGATCATTTAGCATGCCTTCATTCAAATTAGAACAATTTTTAGGACGGATTAAATCTCTGCTTACGCGTAATAGCAGAAAACGTATTGCTCGTTAATTATCCCAAATTGGCCCAATTAGCAGTCTTTAAACCCCCATAATTTTACCAAAAATATACAAAGGAGAAATTGAGCTCAGAACAACAACACTTTTTGTTGATTCAAAAAATTGGATAGTTAAAAAGTCGAATTTTTCTGGAGAAAAAACCACCCCGAGCGTAAATTTTCCGTCACGACTTCTTCGAAAGTAAGAATAATTATGCTTCATAAACTATCTCGCACTCGGATTGAAAGTTTTTGTAAGCCAGCAGTGATTGCTATGCTGATTATGAAAAGTTACCATATGAGATTTATCTTAGGGTCGACTTCAGAAGTGTATGGTAAAATTTCTTGCAGTAGAATGCCACTTGGGTTAGAATGACATCCTTTAGAATGTCATCGGTGTCCTTTTTTGGCGTTTAAAACTCAAAGTGTTTTTAAGGCTAAAAAATGTGTCAAAAAGTTTAAGTTTGTTCACAAATTTCAAGAAAAAGAAATCAAGAAATCTTTTTTTTCCTTCAAAAAACAAGAAATCTTTATTAGAAGAATGCTCACCTGCAAAAGAAGGCGATTTATGTGCGGTTAGTTTGCTAGTTGCCAACTCTGGTTGCATGTTTTCTTTGTTTTCACTTCTTTTTGTCGGAGTAAGAACAAATCCGTTTATATCTTGGTTAATTTTTGAGGTCTGTCTTTTGATAGTCGAACCAATTTCTTTCACCTGAAAAGAAAAGAGTTTTCTTTTTTTTTTTTCAATAAAAAAGTTTAAAATGTATTGAATGTTGAGAAATATAAAATCAAAACCGTACCTTTTGCTTAAATGCATCCCATTGCTGAAAAACGCCAAAATATTATTTGATATTCAACTTGAAAGCCAATTGTACTGGTTTACTTGAAATGCCATGACACTAAATGTGCAAAAATAAAACTTTGCAAAACTATAAGTCCAGTTTTTAAGCCAGCGATTTATTCTCGAGCCTCTATTGAAGTCTCGAGAATTCAATGTGGCGCGCTAAGTATGAAAAATGTATCAATTGTATTTTTTAGGATGTTAATGCTGTATTACCCCGACCGTAGATTGAGTTATTTTGCTGAGATATGGTCAACAATGTTTGCCATTTGTTGGCCCTGTTTTTTTTTATCTTCAACGAGATAGCGCTGAAGAAACTGTTTTTACTGGCTCTTTAATTTTCAGCGAGATCTCGACCTTCCGATTGAGCAGGCCATCAAAACATTCGTTTCACTTTAACTGCATCTCACCAGTGAATCAAAAATAAACCAGAGTGGCTCAGCAAAATCACTCGACTAGTTCTAGAAAAAATACGTAATGCATTATTGACTTTCAGTAAAGACTGGCTGGTAGTTTTTGATTGATGCTTTTTTTCTGTCCACACTATTCGTAGACGCGAGATTTTTTTATTGAATTTGAAACTATAATTATGCTAACCTTGTTTCCTGTATCCCATATGGTGTCTGGCTCTTGAGGTGTGCGGCTGACATTTTCCTCTTTATCAGCGCTGTCAGTTTTGCTGGAAGGCTATAAAATATGATCAACATAAAAACATCAAATAATCAAAAATGCACAAAAAAATCTTGCCTGGAACGTTGTTTGGGTTGACTTTCACCGAAAAATCTTATCATACAAATACATATGAAAAAGTGTCATACGATTTTTATGTATAGTATTATAGTGGTTGAATGCCTGAAACTTTTTTCAGGAACAACATTTTTGTTCCGACCATATGAAGTTCGTATGCGGTTAACTTCGTATGCGGGTGTCTTAGTTTTTTTTGTTTTCCCTGCAAAATCAGCTAAAGCCCTTTCAGTCGTGATTCGAACGACATTGCAAAAATCAAAACAAAATTCCCAGTTTTTAATTTTTCGTCTTATTTCGAGCGAATAGAGCAAACAACAGCTTAATTTAATCCATATAAGGAATTTTTTCGAATTTTTTTGTTTTTCAAATATTTTTTCTACCAAAATTTTTTTTTCAATTTGCCTTTTTCACTATGATTCTCGACTATGCCTAACCTTTAGTTTTTCTTTCAGATCTTTTTATCCCACCACGCAGAAAAACGGCGCTAATTTGGAACAAAAATTGTTGTATTTTTTTAAAATAATAATCATAATAATGAGGTTCCTGCGAATCGCACGCAGAGGATCTATCAGTAGTCCTTAACAGTCCTGTAAGGATAGTCCATATGTATTATCTCCCCACATTCCAGACCGTGTTATTTTGTTGAGCAAAGCTCTGTGTTTTGCAAATCAAGGCCGTTTTTTTGCGTCTAGAACTTTCACGTTAACTTTTAAGACTATGATCGGAACATTATGTGCTACTTGCGCAGTAAAAGACTATCCCTGTTTTTCTTTGAAAATGTTTTCACTTACCGGTTTCGAGCAAATTAACTTTTACTAGTAAAAAACTGTGTACTCAAATAAGCACTTCTCAGCTAAAAACTGCCAGCAAACCAACAATCTTTTGAAGCAACATTTGTTAGATCTACAAAAATTTCAAAAAACTCAAAAAAAAGTTCAAATGTAGTTTTCTGCATTCAGTACACACACTCAAACTTTTGTTTATGAAGGATAAAAAATAAATTGGCTAGTTAAAAATTACGGAAAAGTTTCAAACGATGAAAAAAATTGAAGCAGAAATTCTTTGCGCTGGTTGCTGAAAATTGAATGATTTCGTTGAAAAAACGTCGTTCTGACTTAAGGGCAGCTTTATAATAGTTGTAGAATGTGCAAATCAAATATATGATAAAAGGAAGTTTATCGGAGTTGTATGCTTTGTCTTCCCGAGTAGTAAGAGTGACCTCAAGGTATGAGTGATTTTCAATTTACGTTATTTTTTTCAGAAAATTGAAATTTTTTATATATCCATGAGTATGCTAAGCATTTTTCTAGTTTGTAAATTTACGATAATCCTAGTCAGTAAATGGAAGTCCACTCGAAAAAATTATAAAAACTAAATTACGGTTAGTTTTAACAATAAGTCAAATAATAATTTTAATAATAATAACTAGACACTAAACATATTTTCCAAGTTATCAAATACATTTTGTTTGCAAAAAAATGTTCGCATTCTCTATAAACTCTGGCAGTTTTTAAATATTATCAGATCACCCGTAGAAACTCATCCCCCCAAGTGATAAGTGACCTACCGTAGAATACCCTCCTCAAGCATGTATCAACTCTGAAAAGTAATTCTGTATATTATAAGCATTTCATACAAAAGCGCAAACAAAATTGATTTTTACATTCTTTATGGGGGATTGCATTTTTATGCTGTTACTTACGCAAATTAATCTTTCAATTCAGTTTTCTTCAGTGATACGGTTAAATATGAACGAACCGACGACTGTTTTTTTATTTCGGGGAGGGTGGATTGTACGGTTGATCCATATTTTCAAACAGCTTTGAAGTTATCAAAACTGTAACACTTTCATATTCAATTTCAGTCGCAAAAATTGCGTTATCGAGTAAAAACTTCTCTACTAAAAACTGCCAGCAAACTAATATTATTTTGCACGGAAGACTTACGCAGACATCTAATTTTCTGTGTATGAAGGGTAAAAATTATATAGGCTAGTTATAAATCTCGGAAAAGCTCATAGCGATGAAAATAATTGGAGCAGAAAGTCTCTGCGCTAACTATTATTAATTGATTGATTCCGTTAAAAAAAATTTCGTTCTGACCTAATGGCAAGCTTTATATTAGTTGTAGAATTTTTAAACATTTATTTTGAACAAAGGAAGTTTATCAAAGTTGTATGGCTAAATTTTTGTCTTGACGAGTAATTGTGGTGACCAAAAAATGGTAATTGTAATTTCATGTAATAAGAACAAATTGGTCAAAAAAACCACTGTAAGCCTTCGCGAAAAAAAAAACATTTTAAAATAATAGCGTGATTAGCTCATTTCTGCAGCATGCAAAAAAAAAATGAAGTAGCAGGATTCCAACAAGGCTCAATTTCAGTCTGTCGACAAAAGCTTGCACTCAACATAAAAATAAACAAGATTTTTTTTGAATAAATTGATTACAAGGATTAGAAGATACCTCAAATTAGCAGAACTCGATCTATGAAAACATCGTATTCTATCTCTACGCGACAAAACTTTTATGAACTGCTCGAACATGTTTGTGAACTATCTGAGCCCGGGTCGAGATTCCCGCTCAAAAACAGCTCAAGATTTGAACGATCTGGCCGGTTTTCCAGCAAGATTTGAGCGGTTTGAGCGGTTTGGGACGGTTCTTTTAGAAAAACCGCTCAAATATTGCTTAAAAAACCGCTCAAAAGCCGCTCATTTCTTGCGGCGGTTTTGAAACGGGGTTTCACGCAAGATTTGAGCAGTTTTTTGAGCGGTTTAAGAAAAAACGAGTAAAACCAT